TCTCCCCCCCCCTCCCTTCTTCTCTCCCTCTGTTTTCCCCTCTTTCTTCTGTCTTTCTCTTTTTCTCTGACATATGGATATTCAATTGTTCCATGGCCATTTGATTGGGCAAAAAATAGCTATTTTTATATGTGGAGTTGCTATATTTGTAATTTTTTAAAAAATCATAAATGCAATTTTAGCTTGGTATTAATACAAAATACATTCTTGTAGCTTTAGGATACCACAATGTCAGATTGTATTGCTCCACCAGCTATGCTCTTCTTTAAATACATAAAAAAGTACTTCTTCTCCATCCCAGATCTATTAAGCAATTTGACGTTAGGAAGATAAGCTAAAATTCAGTCATGGAATTATTTACTTTGTATGGTAATGCAAGCAAGGGACAAAAAGGAGATGCCAACTCCAGAGAGGGCTGCTCCCTGAGGTCTAGAAGGAGCAGCAATCTGGGAGATGACTGTCATCTGACAGCTAAGGAGCTCCTTGAAGAAAAGAGATTATGTGCACATAAGAGCAATTTCAAAATAAATTTAACCATACATCTTTCTATTTACTGACATTTTTTTCTTTCCATTTTAGTAGGACACAGTGACCTACTGGAAACCTAATGTTCTCTGTGAAAACCTTACAAATGTTAGGTAAGGGGCAACGATACAGACAGTGCATGTTTTTAAAATTTGACATTAACCCTTCCCCTCTCCCACCCACCCCAGTACTTCTGAACTAACTAGCTGAAGAAGCAAACCTATCATTTCTTGCTCATGTAAAAGTAGCCATCTAAATCACCCGGACAAAGCATGAAGGCAGGTTGAGATGCCCTTATGGAATGCGACCATAATTGCTATTTGCTCTGACTTTTCTTAAATGTTTAGAACTATAAGATGGGAATGTGAGGAATAATGAAACTCAGACAACATGAAGTGTGAACCTCTTTCTGTCCATCTCTTTGTCTCTCTTTCACTTGCATGTCTCTGTTGCTGACACATTTTCTAAAGGTCTTCCAAATGTATTTGCTATTCAGATGTTTGATTTGGGTTTGTCAAAGCTTCTATTTCTATTTACTATGATTCCAGAATTTACAAAATTCCTGACAGCCTTAAAATATAACTCTATTTCAATTATATTTTAAATTTTGCAGCCTATATTTTAGGAAGATTGACTCTAAGTCAATCTTTATTAGTTTAAACCTACAAATAGTCACATTTCATTTAAGAGCTGCAACTCAATAGAGAGTCTTAAAATGATGAAATTATATATACCCTGTCTGTATCAGCTTCCTGATACTTTGAGTAAAAGTAACTTTAAAAAAAGAGTGTGACTTTAAAAGAGCTGAAAGAATTACTAGGCATCTTTTCCTCCTCAATTCAGAAGCTCCTTGAACTTTTGTCTTTAAATATATTAAGATTATTATTAGTTTGTTCAAAATACTGCATGGTGAATCTGTTGAACATTGCATTATACCCCTTCTTTTTACTTAAAGCATTTGGAAGATTTTATTAAGATCTTTATCAAGATTTAAAGTCCAAAAATTGTAAGATACCTCAGAGTTGATCCCTTTTGCTATCCTCATGTGTAAAGGAAGAGATTGGAGCTCAAGAATAAATTATAAACTAGCAGTAGTTTATAGTAATGTATGGAGGATTTTGACATTATAAACTTGATTTCTGGTCACAAAATCTTTTTGAAGTCTGTTTATCTCATATAGCAAGTAAGGAAATAGGCACGATTTCTATTTATATCTTGTTAAACTTGAAAGCCTTTTGGATTCAAGATACCAAAACACTTAATTGTATTTCTTACATCACCAATGAAATTTCATATGGGAAGATAATATAGTCTTCATATAACTATGAGCTAACCTACTCACTGCTTTGCAAATCTATCAGACATCTAACATATGCTTAAAATTTGTAAAAATAATATTGTTAGGTCTTAAGAATAATGTAATTGCACTTTAAAATCATATCAAAGGGGCAGGGAATGTGGCTTAGTAGTAAGAGTGCTTGCCTAGCATGCATGAACACCTGGGTTTGATTCCTTGATACTACATAAACAGAAAAAGGTGGGAGTGAAGCTATGGCTCAAATGCTAGCCTTGAGCAAAAGAAGCTCAGGGACAATACCCAGGCCTTGAGTTCAAGCTCCAGGACTGGCCAAAAAACAACAACAACAACATAACAAAAGAAACCAGGCTGATTATGTCAGTAATATTTTAGTAGTATTTAAAAAAAAATTGCCCGGCGCTAGTGGCTCACGCCTGTAATCCTAGCTACTCAGGAGGCTGAGATCTGAGGATCGCAGTTCAAAGCCAGCCCAGGCAGGAGAGACCATGAGACTCCTATCTCCAATAAACCACCAGAAAACCGGAAGTGGTGCTGTAGCTCAAGTGGTAGAGCGCTCGCCTTGAGCTGAAGAGCTGAGGGACAGCGCCCAGGCCCAGAGTTCAAGCCCCACGGCTGACCAAAAAAAAAATAAAAAAAAAAAATTAGCCACAGGAGTCCTTTTACCCTAGCAAGAGTTTGTATCATCTATATGAAGCCATATATATATATATATATATATATATATATATATATACACACACACACACACACACTATTTTTAAAACATTGAATTATTCTTCTGTAACTGTGAGATTCTCATGCATTCAATTTCTCTTGTCCTACTATGGCTTACCTTATGTCACTTTTTTGGATTCTAAATATTCTCAGAGTAGAGTTTGAAAACCATCATTTGTAATTCTATTCCTGGGCTTTATGTATAAGGAATCTGTGACAAGATAGGGCAAGGAAATTCACTATGGGAAAAGGTCTGGGCCAGGGGTTTTATTTTCTTTGTGGATTTAGTTCCTACTTCATATTCTACTTAATAATTCTACCTTCTTGACTGTCTATATGTCCTAGTTTTTTTGTGAGACACACTTTTTAACCAGTACATTATTGTAACAGTTGAATATATATTGTATGGCATATTTTATCAAAATGATGACTCTAAAATAAGCTAACATCTACTTACAAAGTATTTGTATAAGCTGGGTGCCAGAGCTCATGCCTGTAATCCTACCTACTTAGGAGGGTGAGATATGAGGACTGTGGTTCAAAGGCAAGTAAAGCAGGAAAATCTGTGAGACTACTACATCCATTTAACTACCAAACCCCAGAAGTGGACCCATGGCTCAAATGGAAGAACACCAGCTTTGAAGAAAAAGCTAAGAGACAGCTCGCAGGCCCCAGTTCAAACTCTGGTACCTGCACACACACACACACACACACACACACACACACACTATTGGGTGGAGTTATGCTTTTTGGTAATAAACCCAAAATAATGAATATCCTTCAACCCAATGTCTTCTAGACCATTGAAGATGTAAGATTTAAAAGAATATATGATTAAACTTTCTACAAGTTAAGTTTCAGTTGACTGCTTTGATTGACAGTTCAACTCTTCATTCTTGAGGCTTGTCCATGGCTGACAAAGTTCAGTTTATATTGGAACAGAAAACTTATCATGTAATTTATAATCTTTCTTTCCATTAGTCACAAATACTCTCTCAAGTGAGAATGTAATGGTCCACAGACAATATTAGAAATTCAAAATAGAATCAGAAATAGAGGAAATTCTATAATTGTTGTTGAACAATTATTATTTACATTTATACTATGCATTTTAAATCTGATGGCTACCATGCAACTTAGATTTTCATAACGTTTATTTGTAACCGAAAGGGCTAAAAACAGTTGAGGAAAATATACATTCTAAATTACAGATTCCAATGAGCATTTAAAATTCCCTCTGAGGAGATGGAAAATGGCTCAGGAGAATGACTCTTTCCTTATAAAAGAAAAATATTCCAGCCATTAAGTGTTTGTTTCTCCTTCTTCAATAAAAACAAGCAAAATAAACACATGCATCCTCATTTAAAAAGTATAGAATATAATACACATACGAAATGGAATAAGCTATGCTTCAAATCAAGAACCAGACTACTGCCACTTCCTTTAAAATTCCCTTCCGCCCCTTCCCACTCCTTATCTTCTTCAGTGTTAAAGCAATCACTATACATTATATGCTATAATACGGTGTGTTTTTCTTTAGCTATAGGTGACCTTGTGGAAAAATCAGTATCAAGTTTTGTGTCCAGAGCTCAAAATCATGGATTAGAGAAAGTATTTGTTGGAAAAAGCAAAGAAATAACCACTTACAGTCATTTTTTTTGCTTGTTTACACTTCTGTCCCTAAGGCAAAAGTGTCAGTCACATTTTTGGCTCAAAGAGCTATTAATAATTCATAGAATTTCCCATACAATCTCTTCACCAAGGCTCAATGGTAGTAGCACTGTTGAAATGTCCTGACTAGCCATGACTAAACTCCTTCACATTGCTTCTGTTTATTTAGTCAACTTTCCAAATAAATAGAGAAACTTGTCACAATTCCAACAGCTACCCTTAGGAATATATTCTTTAGTTCTACATTAGTATGGCCAGTGTGCCACCAAAGACCAGATGACTTAATTAAAGAGAGAAAAAAAATCACCTCTGAAAATAAGTGGCAATTTTTTTCCCTGTGATTCAAGTTCTAAATGTTTCACCCACGCAACTGTGGCATGGTAGATACTTAATTATTGCAAATTTCAACATATTATGTATGAAATATATAAGTCTGATTTATTATGTTTCCTCTAGTTTTATGAGGCTTGTTAGCAGAATTCCATTACATCTGACTGACGCCCTGATGTCAAGAAACCACTCTTGTTAAAATATTTAATAGAAAAATGAGCTAACAAATCATTGAAATAGCTTTACTAAACAGGAAAAACAGGGTGAGATATAAAATACTGCTTACAGCACAATTAACAATATTATGGCAATTTAAAAACAACTATTTAAGCACCATATAAAGGAGTTGCTTATGAGAAAAGCAATATTCTCTCACTCCTTGTTGTCTCATTTGGAACTAATTTTTCCTCTCTTTTCCCCCATCAGTGTTTAGCCAACTGGTTCAGTAGTTCCACAATGGTAGATGGCCAGTTTGAAATCACAAAATAATTCCAAGGAAGTATCTTGCATGACTCCTGCTGAAAGTGAACCAGAGGGCAAGATTTATATAGTAGTGCCTCAACCACTGATAATTTCTACATTTTGTCATCACCAGGTAACTCAGCATACTGAGCATACAATGTTGTCATGGTTCTTTTCACTTTTTTATTTTTAAAATATTTTATTTATGTATGTATTTATTGTTATGAGTTCTGGGACTTGAACTCAGGGCCTTGGTCCTGAGCTTTTTCATTCAAAGCTAGCATTCTATTACTTGAACCACAGCTTCACTTCTGGCTCTTTGGTAGTTAATTGGAGATGAGTCTCATGGACTTCCCTGCCTGAGCTGGTTTTAAACTTTGACACTTAGATCACAGCCTCCTGAGAAACTAAGATTACAGGTGTGAGTCACCAGCACATCTTCTGAGATAATCCACCATGGTATTGTATCAGAAGGTAATAATATAATTTGATTTTGTAATAAGAATAAATGTACGATATCCTTTAAAGATGCAAAACTGGGGGAGGAACATTGTGAATTGGCATAGTACTCTTGTACTTTTCCGAAAATATGTGCACAAAACAGTTTCAGGTCTCTTAAAACTATTTAGAGTGAAGTAAGCCAGGCCCAAAGAAACATAGGTCCCACGGTTTCCCTTATTTGCAATAACTAGTATATGTCTGAGTCAAGCTGAAAAGGTCAGATAAGTTGATGTTAGGGGAATGAACCCCAAGGTAAGTATTCAATTTTTTTTCCTTTCATGCTATTGTTTCTAACACATTTATAAGACGATTTCTTTGTTGCTTTGTATGTCCTTCCCCCACGGTATAACCCATGCTTTCACTGTATTTGATGTTTGTATAGTTTGTGGAGGGGAAGGGAAAAAATAAATCGTTTAACTAGGGATACAGGTGGACACACTGCAACAATGAGATGTACAAGTTGTTATGTTGAAAAATGAACTTTACAACTTTGGTGGGGGGTGGGGGAGGATCGGGTAGGGGTAGGGGGGAGTATGGGAAGGGATGGGAAGGGGTAACAAAGAGGAGGCAACAATGCTTGATAAAAAATGTACTTGTTATCTTGCCCATGTAATTGTAACTCCTTGTTACAATTGTACGGTATTCTTGTACGGTATTCTCACATTAAAAAAAACTATTTAATATGAACTTACCTACCCTTTTGTTTTTATTGTTGTAATTTATATAAGATAATAGACTCTCATGGATTTTCCTGCCTGAGCTGGTCTCAAACCTCAGTGCTCAGCCTCCTGAAGTGTTAGGATCACAGGTATGAGCTAACAGTGTCTGGCTTCCTATAACTTAATCTTGACTAAAAAATTAGATTTTTTTCCCCACAGTGCCTTTTATTATAGAGAAACTTGATGATTTCTATGTAAATGATCCAGAACAACAATTTATCTTTTCCCCACAATTGGTTTTGGGGACTGTTTAAGGAAAGAAATGTTTCCTCACCTTTTTTTTGTTGCAGAATAAGATAAGTTTTTCCATTGCATTTTAAAATTTTTTCTAAGGTTTTAAGTACCTTCATAGTTTAGAGAAAAAGAAATCTTGTTTGGTGAAGCTTTTATTGCACACACACACACACAAACATTTGAGAAGACTTAATTTTCAATTTAAAAATAAAATTTTCATCACAAGAATACAGGTCAATAATTTTTTTTGTCCTTCCCCTTTTAAGAAACAAGAGAAATGAATTTTCCTGGATGCTCAAATTTTTTAAAATGTTTTTTTTTGTGTGAAAATACTGTACAGAGGGGTTACAATTACACGAGCAAGGTAATGAGTACATTTCTTATCAAGCATTGTTGCCTCCTCCTTTGTTTTACCATCCTTTCCTTCCCATCTCCACAACTACACTCCCCCCTACCCTTCACGTTCAATTTTTAAACTCAAAAGAATTAAACAGAAAATCTGTCTAGATCTATTTTTTGCTCCGCAAGAAGGGCTGGCTGTGTTTAAGCAGATAACCAGGTTCTGTATTTTAAGAATATTGCCCTTCCTTCTCTCTTCCAGTGCTGCAATGATGGAGCTCTCCCTTCAGTTGGTCACTTACCTCATCCAATATCCGGGATACGGAGATGGAGGGAATGAGTGGTTGACTGCTGCGCGGCTGTCTTCTAGGGTGGGAGTCCTAGCTCAAGGTGTTAAAGACAGATGTGAGTGCTCTCCAAGTTGCCTTTGCTGAGGAGTGCGCCTCACAAGGAATATGCCACTGGACTCTGCTGGTCAGCATTCTTTGCAGTGACAAGAATACCTGTGGACAACAATTTAAAAGAGGGAAGGTGGCTCAGTGGTAGAGTACTTGCCTTGCATGCTCAAGGCCCTGGGTTCGATTCCTCAGCACCACATAAGAAAAAAGCCGGAAGTGGCGCTGTGGCTCAAGTGGTAGAGCTCTAGCCTTGAGCTGAAGAGCTGAGGGACAGCGCCCAGGCCCAGAGTTCAGGTCCCATGATCGGACCCCCAAAAAAATAAAATTAAATAAAAGAGGAAAGGTTAAGTCTTGGTTCAAGACACATGAGTTCAGAAGTATCAGCCTGTGGTCACCTGACTCCATTGTGCATGGTGAGGCGGGACATCATGGAGGTGGAGCACTTGCTTGTGCTCACTCCATGGTAGACTACAGAGGAAGAAGAAGAGAGAGACAGAAGATGGAGGAGGAGGGGGAGAGGGGGAAGGGGAGAGGGGGAGGAGGAGGAGAGAGAGAAAGACTCCTAAGAATTTACTGCCTTCAACTATATCCAATCTCCTCACTTTCCTAGCTCCCAATAACAAACAAAAAGAAAATTAGTAAAGCTGCCAATGGACCTGCCCATTGATGAACTCGGAAGCCCTCTTGATCGCGTTACTTTCCCCAGAAGTTGCATTCCAGATCCAAACCAAAGCGTTCAGCAGCCATTGAAATACAGATGGCAGGCCCTTGGGATATCTCTTTTGCACTATTTTACTAAAAATAACTAGGAAGGAGAAAGTCTGTAGACTTCTATTTGTGCTCACCTAGCTTTGCGAGATAGCTATTCCACTTTGAAAAGGGAAAGTTTGATGGAGAAACGATATGCCATTCATGCTGAGTACTGCAAAGGACAGCAGAGAGCCGGGAGCAGAAGCAAGGGGGAACTTATCAGGATGCAGTCATGCTCAAGAAGCAAAATGAAATTCATGTTGACTGTTAAAGCTTAGATAGGATTTAGGTGAAACACCATTTGTAGGAAGAGCCTTTCAAAATTGCCTTTAACTCCCCCTTTTTTTTTCTCGGGGAGTCTGGGATTCAAATGCTCCCCACTCCTCCTCCTACACCCCGCCCCCCATTCACAAGGGATGATCTCAATTATCCACAGAAATGGCCAGCTGCACACTTCTGACGTCCTATCCTTTAAGCAAAAGTCATTTGAACAGGTTTGTGTTCGATCCACTTTTTTTGTTGTTGTTGTTGGTCGTGGGACTTGAACTCCGGGCCTGGGCGCTGTCCCTCAGCTCTTCAGCTCAAGGCGAGCGCTCTACCACCTGAGCTACAGCGCCACTTCCGGTTTTCTGGTGGTTTATTGGAGATAGGAGTCTCACGGTCTCTCCTGCCCGGGCTGGCTTTGAACCGCCATCCTCAGATCTCAGCCTCCTGAGTAGCTAGGATTACAGGCGTGAGCCACCAGCGCCCGGCCCCACTTTTTTTTTTTATTGGTAAAACACATCTAATCGATGTTTTTACTCATCTTTAGTTTTGCCTTAAGGAACTATATATGTGTCAAAAATGTCCCCCAGATTACCTAAGATTTTTAACATTTGTAACAATGAGCCATTAAAGAATAAGAGGAAATGGAAACACACAGGTTGGTTGTAACTGATGTAATTGCAGATGATACAATATCAGCTTTCTTTTCTTGGTCTAAAGCCAAGTGTTTGATTCTTCAGTACAGATGAGCACACCCTTTCCTAATTATTTGGGGTGGAAAGAGGGTGAGTTTGAGAATTGTGAAGATCAACCAGGTCTTTGAACCTTTTGTTCTGTTAGAAGACATTTTACCTTCAAGGTGTCCTCAATATTCAATTATTGGTACATACACTTCATATCTTTCTTGTCCTTATGAACCATATGTTTAATAAATCATCCATTGTAAAGTGCAACTCAGGCTTCATCCCCCTCGTTTTCCTCTTTCAAAACAGAACTGCAGAAGCCAGCAGCTTAATTGATCATCTTATCTTAACCTGCTGATCACATTCTGTCTCCCAGTGACCGTAGCTGTTAGTAAGTCACAGGTGCAATGATGTGACTAATTTGGGGCAAGTTATCCTCGCCAGCTTTATAAAAGGGACCCACAAGAAATGAAGAAAAGTCTCATTTGCTAGGTATTAATGTGTCAGAATATGCCACCTAAAACTTTTACAATGATCGTTTCTTCAAGAAGGAGTTGGCAAAAGATAAATTAAAAAACATAGGCCTAAGCAGTCTTCAAAATAAACACAACATGGCTTCTCACAGTGTCATTGTACACTTGAAAATTTTCATCTCTGTAGGCAGTCTTCCTTAGGACTTCTTAAATGTAAAAATAAGTCTTCCAATTGTTTAATCCATCTAAGCACAGACATTCTATAATAGACATTCTATAATTTGAATCAAAATGTGACTGACAGGTGAGCAATTTAGGCAAAAAGGATTACTTTTGCATATACAGATGGAGACAAATATAGAAAAATGTTTTTGCATTTTGTGGCATCAGGGAAATGTAAATAAAAACAATTAGGTACCATGACACTCCATTACAATGGCACAATTCAAAGCAATGCTAATATTGTATATCATGAGCTGTCAAGAATGTGAAGCAATAAAAGGTGGGAAAGCAAAAATAATATAGCCATTTGGGGAGACATATAACACTGTAAAATTATTTACCTCTAAATAATGAAATCACTTTATTCTGTGAGGCAAAAAGTTCACAATACAGATTTTCTTACAGAGCAATGACAAGCAATCTCAGTCTTCCATGTATGTAGTGGGAGGTTGGCTATCAAAAAAAGATAAAATGGGCAGGATACTAGTGGCTCATGATTTTAATTCTAGATAATAGAAGATGAAGATTCTAGATGAAGATCCAAGGATTCAGTTTAAATCCAGACTGGTTGGAAAAGTCCATGAGACTCTTATCTCCTATTAACCAGCAAAAATCCTCAAGAAGCTAAGCTGTGGTTCAGGTGGTAAAGTAAAACATAAGGTACAGTGAGTCCCCAGATCCTGAGTTCAAGCCTCAGTACCAGCACACCCCTTCTCCCCCATGATAAAGTGATTCAGGAGCAACTACATATCTGTTTTGTGGAATATGAAAGAGTCCAAGGAAAACCAAAGGGTTAAATTACCTTGTGTTAACTAAAGATGCCTAGGCAAAGAAAATTATTATTTATTGAAGGGAACTGAATGAAAACATTTTCTATTATAAAAAGTAGTTAATAAGCTTCATGATTATTATTTTTTAATGTAAATTCCATTCAAGTGGTTACTTTATCAACTCTGTTCCATTTTAATATTTTAAGCCAATTACTTTTCTGGGCATTCATGAGACTGTAAATTACTTTAATCACAATATATTGGAGACAATTAATGATGGCATACTCTGGATAGCTCAACATGTGCTTGCAATCAGAATATTTAATATAGAAAGACACAGAAAACTAAATACCCTGTCTTGCTCATGGGAATTTGAACATCTAATCTATATTTATAACTCTCTGGTATATTTCTTCTGTCAGTTTGAGATTGCAGGTTTATTGATGCTTTGTAAAAGGAAAAAAAATAAAGAAAAGAAAACATGCATTCAAACAAGCTATTGTTTCTCAAGATTTAATTGTGCTAATTGAAATATAACAAGATTTTGTACAAATTCTCTCTCACACTTCTCTCCCACCATCTCTTCTACGTTTTTTTCTTTTCTCCTTCAATTCTACCAAGAGAAGTAGTTCAGTTATAACTTTCTTTTTCTCACAATGACATTTGGAAATTATTTTTCTGTACTTAATTTGATAACAAGTAAAGTTTTGTTTTTATTCGCAGATGTCAAAATATATAAAACACATATTATGCCATCTGGACGAGTCTGTTGTCCATCTGGAATATACTACTATCTTGGAAAACAGAATGCAGTCTTCTAAATTCTGATTTTTCCACTATTTAAAAGGCATAATTGCATTTGAATTAAACTATAACTAAAACCAACATTACACAGGAACACCCAAGCTTGGACCAGTATAATTTAGCCATGCTTAAGTCAAAATACTTTCCCATGCACGTAGGATGGAATAATCTCACTTGGAGTTCTTTAGCTTGAAAGATTTTATTCCTATGTCAAGCTCCATTGATTGTCTAATTTCATTTATGGCAGATTGTGTAGATTGCAACTATGTCAGACAGAGCTGATAGGAATTTTGGGTATTTGAAAGTAAATGGATAGGTCCTAATAGAATTTTAGATAATATATATCCTCAATAAATCTCTTAATGTAAGCTTTGATTTCTCGAAAACAGTATTTCTAATAGGACAAGGAAATTATTGTACCCATGCTAAACTTTTGCAGAAATGACAGAAAAAATTATACAAATAGGTAAGTCTTCCTTTATGTCCAAATGACTAGTTAGGTAAATATTAATTTCTTCCCAGAATATGTCTGAAATATAAATCTGAAGACCAACAGACATATTTTAAATGACCTCTCTTTTGGTGGAAATAGTAAGTTGGTCAATAAAGATTCCTGTGTAATTACAGTACATATATTTCTGAATCTTTAAATGTATTAACAGTCCGTGAAGTTTTTACAAACAGTAAAATCTTGAGATATCCAACAGAAAATGATTTAACTACTTAATGCCAGAATCATTGTTTAAACAGCTTTTATGTATTTTGTCTTACTGAGGGACTTTCTTTTCTTCCTTCCTTCCTTCCTTTCTTCTTTCCTTCCTTCCTTCCTTCCTTCCTTCCTTCTTTCCTTCCTTCCTTCCTTCCTTCCTTCCTTCCTTCCTTTCTCCTTCCTTCCTTCCTTTCTTCCTTTCTTTCTTTCTTTCTTTCTTTCTTTCTTTCTTTCTTTCTTTCTTTCTTTCTTTTCTTTCTTTCTTTCTTTTCTTTCTTTCTTTCTTCTTTCTTTTTATCAGTCTTGGAGCTTAAATTGTGAGCCTGGATACTGTCTGTGAGCTCTTCAGCTCAAGGCTAGTGCTCTACCACTTTAAGCCACAGTGCCACTTCCAGTTTTCTGGTGGTTAATTGGAGTTAAGAGTCTTATGGACTTTCCTGCCTGGGGTAGCTTTGAACCACTATCCTCAAATCTCAGCCTCCTGAGTAGCTAGGATGACAGGCATGAGCCACTGGCATCTGGCCAGAGAAATTTTCTTAATGACATTTTATGGAGAAAAGTAATGCACAGGAAGAATGCATGAAGAAGAAAATTTGCATTTTAACAGCAAGCTGTCACATCAGTGGCAGAGTTGTCAGCTTGTCCTGTTTGAACAAAAAATGAAATTATACTGCATGCTGTCTTCTTTTATTGAACATTTTGTTTAAAATTAAAGTGTTTAAAAACTAAAATAATTGGAGTAAAATATT